CGCCAATGTCGGCGAAGACGACCCCGTTCTTTGACGTCGCTCGGGTCCAAGTTCTGTTTGCGGACGCAGCTGCTCGGTGCGTCGCGGAGGGCGAACAGTCCAAGTCATCGACGCAGGGGCGGGGCGGGGGGGCATTCAGCCTTAGAGTCGAAGGCGGGGCATGGCCCACGCGCTTGCCTTTGGGAGTGCGAGAGGGCAGGGCCAGCCTGCGCAGCAGGTCAGGGCACTCCGCGGGCGGTGGGCAATCGTGGCCGCCACCAAACGGGGGGACAAGGGACAGAGCCTGGCGCAGAGCTGGCCGTCAAATGTCTCGAGGGCAGAAATGCCACCCCGATCATAACCACCCCGACAGCGAATCCGTGGAGTGAACGCATCCAGGGAAGGAATCGAACAGGGCACGGCTGTTTAGTACACGCCCAAGGTTGTTTCATAAACGTCAACTGTCGAGTCCAGATGGATGTTCCTCCCTTCAATGTCGGCCGTGGAGCAGCAAGATCGCCAAGCTGTATGTGATAGTATGCACGATGTAGCCGTAGATGCCGAACGCATGGATCACTACCCTCCATGACAGCCGCATCAGGAACTGGGCGAGTGTGATGGTCAGAACGCTCAGAACGGCCATACGGGCGAGGGCCACACCAGGCTTGCACCAAATTGCGAAGGACCTCATGACCACATTGAACAATAGCGGGTTGTACAAGAACACCAGGGACATCTGCTGAAGCAATAGCATCCAGGCGAAGGCGCCCTGGCCCGCTCTGAAATGCCATGCGACCCTGCCGACCATGTCCCACAAAATGGGTGGCCCCATGCAAGCAACGAGGTAGGGGTACGGAATGCGGGCATGCCTGACCGTGTGGCTCAGCAGCTTCTCTCGGACGAATCGGTCGAATCTGTCCACGTCGCCAAACCACTCGATCACGGTTGCTCTGATCAATTCCCTGTCGCACGGCATGGCATTACGCGTCTCGGGGTGCTGATGGCCGTTGCTGCAGCAGAAGCACGCTGCGTGTTCAAGGGAAAAGGTCACTAGCTGTTCCTCCTGCTCGGCGAAGGCGCAGACATGCCGCGCAAGGAAGGGGGACAAGACTAAGCCAATAATGCAGAAGGTCATCGAGAAGGGAACCACTGGAACCACTCGCAATGCAATCTCCTGAGTCCAGGACTCCTGAGGTGGTAGCTCCCTGAACATCGCCAGGATCTCGTCAGCGCCTAGCAAGAACCAACGGGTGGCAAAAATGAAGACCGTCAAGGCGACAAATAAGATGGCGAGTATGCCTCCGTACATGGAAGGCAACACCTGCAGCGCGTTATCCGAGGCCTGCTCCCGATCCGACTGCCGTCTCAGGTACGCCGCAAACTCGAAGACACACCAAAGCCGCCGGAAGTACGTTTTGTCCCAGAGAACCAGCACAGTCCTCGACATCCTCAGATAGTAGGCGAGGCTCAGGATGCCGTTCCGTTGCGCTGTATCGTCGTCCTGAGGAATGCAGGCCCTGTCCAGAAACACGCGCTGCCGACTCGGCCAGGCAAACATCACCACCAGAGTTACGCACAGCCCGGCTGCCATGCACGGAAGGCCTGCGCGATAGCCACTCACTGACATCGGTGCTGGAGCCACCTCTGCTTGCAACAGCAAAGCAGTGGCCGTGGCCGCGGCAACACCCGCCAGGGAGGCCGGCCAACAGTTGTAGTAGATCAGCAGACTGCTGCATATCATAAACGGCGACGCATGCCGGCTGTACGACCAGAACTGGTCGTACCGGTCGACCTCCCGGGAGAGCATGTACTCGTCTCCGTAGATGCGGAAAACATTGCTGAGGACCTGCATCCCGACGTTTGCAGGGATCGCGCGCATCTTGGCGCAGGAGCAGGCGGCCGGCTCCATCGAGAGCCCCCGCGGACTCGCCTGGTCAGGGCACTCTGGGACGGGCCGCGGCAGCGCGTGGCCCTCGCAGCACCCGACCATGATGGCCTCCGGCGCGCCAGGCCGGTCTCCTGCTCCTGCCTCGCAGACATCGGCCTGGGCGTCAGCGCCCGGGGGCGACAAGGCAACATCTGGTGGGCACAGCCTCGACATCTCAAGGGCACTCAATGGCCCAAGGGCTGGCGCGACCCTGGCCCTGGAGCCAACCTGGAGCCAAATGGCTGCGAAACTGGTCAGCACGTGGTTCGGACGCTCAGTTTCGGGGGTCCTCGGACGTCGTCCTCGGGTGGTGGTGGAGGCCACCCACTGGGGCAACAACCTTCGCGCTTCGCGCTCTCCACGAAGCGCGATTCTTTTCGCGCTTTCGCGCCGCCCCCACCCTGGAACAAGATGAGGGACTCGCGCCTCGCTCTGACATCGCCCAGAGCGCTGAACGCGAAATGCGACTCACTACGCACCCGCGTGGTATCCCAAATGGGGTCAGAGCAAACAGGGCCGGCGGGCCGCGCCACGTCGGTCGTGCATCGCCCATGCCAAAAAGGAACTGGAAGCGCCATAAGCACCAGTTCTAGCAGGTTCGTGCGGACCTCCTGCATCGGCGCTGGACCACCCTCCCTGGCGCGCGGAGCGCGCCAGGTGCGGCGCTGAAGGCGCCACCAGGATGGCCCAGCGCCGATCCACGAAATCCGTACGGACCTCCGGAACATTTTGTTTAGGTCGTCGCCTTGCTGTCAAGCGTTGTGCGCCCCTCCCCGTCGTGCGAGGCCGACGCGCAGGCGGTGCGTGGACGCCGCGGAGCTCTTCGGACGCCGCCCAGGGCGCGCTCTGCTCGCTCGCTGGTCGCGTCGGGCACCGCCTGGGCTGTGGGTCACGCTGCTCTGCGCGCGGGCTGCGCGCTCGTCGCCTTTGGGGCTTTCCCGCAGCGGGAACACAAAGCCAGGACAGGGGCACATTGGACAAGGGTTGAATCGGGCGCCGGGGCCTTCTCAGAGCGTCCCAGAAGGCTCTGAAAGCGCTCTGTTCAGCTCTCAAGCGATGTATCCAGCGCTCAGAAATGCTGCCGTCTCTCAGGGGCGCATTGATTTGGCCGCCCCTGTTCAATACCTGCCGCCTTTGCCCTGACCCTGCGCCAAGAGAACAGGAGGCAACTCCTCGATTCCTCGGAGGCGAGGCCTTTGCAGACTGAGCAACAGGCCGGGCCAGCGGAGGAGGAGGAGGAGGAGGAGGAGGAGGAGGAGGAGGAGGAGGAGGAGGAGGGGGAGGAGGAGGAGGAGGGTGTCACCCACCAGCGGCATGAGGCAGACTGCTACAGCTTCCCAGTTGGGGTCCCTTCGGTCTCCCCGCCCATCCTCTGATGCATTGCGCGGGACAGGCTGGGGACAACCGCGAAGCACCGTGGGACTGGAGCGGGACAACCACGCAACATCCGTGGGACAACCGCGAAAGCACCGCGGGACTGGCGGGGAAGGGGAACTTGTTGTACGACTTCGCCCCAGCCTCGCGCACCTTCGCCTCGTCCACACGCACGGCACGGATCGAAACCGAAACTGGCTTCTCGATTGGGGCGACTGCGTTCACACTCCTCAGCCTCAGATGCACCCGAGAACGCAACTCGGCCATCGAGCGAGAGTGGGAGACGACAGGAGGGATGATGAGGAAGGGGGAGGGAGCGAGAGGGAAGGCTGGAGCGAGAAGGAAGGAGGTTCGAGTGAGAATGAGGAGGTCGAGGAGGGAGAAACGCTCGCTCGCTCAACGATGGGATTTTTCAATGCCGTGCTCAGGATGAAGCATGCCGTTCTCAGGATGAAACACAATGATTTTGTATTTTGAATTCACTGAGGACACTGGGGGAGGCGAAAAAAGGAGGGACGAGGGAGCCTCTGGCTCCCCTTCATCCTCCCTCTCCCCCTCCCCTCCCCCATCTTTCTCCCTCCCTTCCCCTCTCTGTCCCCATCCCCGTCCCCCTCTCCTCCTCATCCTTCTCCTCTGAGGCCCTGTGAGGCCGTCTTCATATCTAAAGGCAATATTAGAGCCGTCTTAGGGGCCTCATGATAAGACACTTTGGGTTCTCGTGAGGCCGTCATGGGGCCCTCTCTTGGTGAACCTTGAGGCGGTCCTGTGCCATCTTGAGGCCGCCCTGGGCCCTCTTAGGGCCATCTTGGGCCATCCGGGGCTCCTCGGGGAACCCTCTCGGGGGCCTCGTGGGGCTGGCCCAATCCATCTCAGGAGTCCTGAAAGCTTCTTTGGGTCCGTTTGGGTCTTCGTTGGCTCGCCCTGGCAGGATGGTGTAACTCCTGCGCGTGATCCGTCCCCCCGCGCCCCTCAAGTTCAATGCGTTACGCAGGGGCGGCGCGCGATTCTACTGAAGAGCCCCAGGACACACAAATAGATACACACAAATAAAACGATCCCCCATATTTCGCCATATGTTCTGGGTTTTTGTCTTCCCCCCCACTTCCCACATTTTCCCATATTGTCTTGGGAATCGACGATTCATTGTGTCTGTGTGTTTTTCTTCCCTCCTGAATATATACGCATCTGCTTGCCGTCGGCCGCAGCCGCCTCAACACTGAGACCAGGGGTCCTGCGGGGGGACCCGAAGGTTGGCCCAGGCCTTCGCAGAGGTCTCTTGAAGGTTTTGGCCCCTGGCTGGCTCGCCCGAGGCCCTCCTTGAACCGTCACAAGTCGAGCATGTCACAAGTACGCAAAACCCCCAAAAAGATTCTTGATATCTGGGGGTGGCAGTGGGGCCTCCTCCTAAAGAGGAGCTCCCTGCTCTGCGCCGCGCTCCTTCGGAAGGGTCTGCGTGGGCAGGCGTGAGCAGGGTGCGCACGATTGTAGATACCGGACTGCGTTCGACTCGTATCGCATCGTCTGAGGGGGCCCTGAGACACACAAATAAACACACAACAATAAATGTATTCCCTATATTGTCCCATATGTTCTGGGTTTTTGTCTTCCCCCCCACTTCCCATTTTTTCCCATCTCTTCTGGAGACTCGACGATTCGTTGTGTCTGTGTGTATGGCTTCCCCTCCTGATCGTCTCCTCATCCTGTCCCACGCGCGCCGCGCCTCCAGGGGAGGGTCCATCATGAACGCCTTGCTGCGAGGGCGGTGCCGACAAAAACAAGAAGACTGGACGTGCAAGCGAAGGAGGCGGTGCACGTAACGTCAAGGAAGGAAGCGAAGGAAGCGAAAGAAGCGACAAAAAAGACTGGACGTGCAAAAAGACTGGACGTGCAAGACTGGACGTGCAAGCGAAGGAAGCGAAGAGGATCACGATGAGCCGAAGAAGAGTGGCACGATGAGCCGAAGAAGAGTGGCGAGAACCAGAGGGGAGCGATTGCAATGCCGACGGCCCGACGATCGTGTGGACGATGAGGCCGATCATGGCGAAAGAGATGGGTGCGAGACGGCAAAGGAATCAGATCTCAAAGAAGGCGGGAAGGGGGAGGAGAAGGAAGGAGAAAATAAAAGGGAGGGAGAGAGACGATAGAGAAGAGGGGGGCGGGGGAAGGGACGAGGCGGGCGGAAGAAGAACCTTGGGGAAGGAGGGGGGAAGCAGCAGGGCGGGGAGAATGGGGGGGGAGGGGCGGCGGCGACAAGGGGGTCTGGGGGGCAGAGCCACAGAAGGAGGGACGAGGGGTGGGGCATGTAAAAGCGATGGGAGACAAAGGGGAGGCGGGAGGGACCACGGGGGTGACTGGGATGCAAAAAGGCGGGCGGGCGCCTCCTCGCCCATGTCTCCGGCCTCCTCCTGCATCTGCCGCCACAGCTCGTCCATGGACCCCTGCCGCGGGGCAGGCCAACAAGCCCAAAGCTCCGAGCCGTCACAATTCCATCTTCCTCCGCCGCTCCGCCTTCCTCCCTCAAACTCCAGTCGAGCAACTTGGGCTCAGGCATTTCGCAGAGCCCCGTCCTCGCGCCTCCACGCGGTGCTTCAGGGGCGCAAAGGCGTACGCTCACCCTTTCGGGCGGACACTCCTGGTGGCTAAGGTGAGGATGACAGCGCCGAGTGGCACTCGCGCGTGGTCGAAGTGCGCAGGGTGGGGAGCATGTGTATACAACGAGACGTCCTGAGTGCGGCCAAGAGGAAAAGCCGCAAGCGCCAGAGACATGTGAAGCTGCTCGTGCCCGAGCCGTTCGGAGGCCAGGCCCAGGGCTGTGGCCACCAGCCTGCAGGGAGCTGCGCCAGACACCGAGGAGGCAGCACGCCGGTCGCGAAGGCGACGCAGCCGCCAATTGATCCCGAGGCGAAGCAAGCGCCGGCGCCCTGCCAGCAGAGGCCAGCCAGGCATCCGGCCTGGGACCGTCTCCTGCGCGCGTCGCGCCAGCGGTGGCGGTCAGGCGGGCAGAGGGGACGTGGCGCGACGCTTCCTCGAGATACAAGCATGCGTCGTCGCAAGTTGTTCGGTGTCGTAAGAACCTCGAAGTGGCTCTTGCCAACGAGAGCGAGGCGCCGAATGCCCTCGCCATGGCGGAGATTTCGAAGAGGAAGCCGGCTACGGCATGGGCGCAGGAGTTCGGTATCGCTACTGCCGAGTCGGCGACCACGGGAGATCACGTAGTTGATCTGTCGTGGGACACCGAGCTGTTTGCTTGGCTCGACTCGGTAGATTGCAACGAGCAGGAGAAGAAGACTTTCACGCAATTCGAGGCTGACCTGCATTCACGCAATTCGAGGACATCGCGAAGAGTAAGATCAAGGTCGAGGAGATGAAGCGAGCCATCGAGAGGAGGACGACCAAGAAGCGCAAGGTGCAGGAGAAGGACAAGGGAGCCTGGCAGGGCGCAGCGGCAGCCGGTGTCGCAAGTACACGCCGGTCGGAAGAAGTGGGTAAAAAACATGAAGTAGGAAGGCATTGGAAGTAGGCTGGCCGCCCGCCCCCTGAAGAGGAGGGAAGAAGGAAACCAGTCGAAGTTGATTGGGATCTGGGCGCCCAGAACTACCTACTCTCAACAACCAACGTGTACGATGGGCCCACCCCTCACTCCACCTTTTAAGCACATGAATATTGGCATGTGGTTCTGCGGCACGTGCGGCTATGTCGGCCACTCCTAACTCAGGGATTGGATAAGCCACGTCAGAAGCCCGTTTCCAAGACGAGACGGGAACACGTCCTTGATCGGATCTCTTTCCCAAAAGCTGGAGCTGCATACGGTTGATTCTGCGATTGTGAAGGCGATCGTCCTGGTAATCCTACCTCAACCGCATGCTCCTCCTCCAGATCTGTACGCACTCAATATCCAACCACATCCTATTGACCCGCATCGTCAGCATCCTCTCCCCATACTGTTGTCACTGATTAGTGGGGCGGGACAGACAAGAACATACGCAAGCGGCGACTTACAGTTTGGGTTAGTACGTAGATGATGGGGGGGGGGATGCGGGGGGGGATTCAACCAGGGACGATTCGCACTGCGTTAGCCGTCTCCCTGTTAGCGTACACATCGGCGCCTGCTGCGAGCTCTGCAAAATGATGCAGGTCAGCCAGATCGGCCTCTCCCCTCCACTACTACCATCCTCAACACCTCTCCTCACGCATCCCCCTCCCCATCCCGCTCCACGTCCGTTCTCATAGCTCGTATCCTCCTCCTCCTCCTCCGCCTCCTCCTCCTGTTGTATCCTCCTCGTCCTGCTCCATCCATCCGCCTCATCCTTTTCTCCACCGTTTCACTCTGCCGCCTCATCCTCCTCGTCCTCCTCCTCCTCCTCCTCCCCACCTCAGACGAGCCCGGGTGGGGGCACCAAAGTGGGTCATCATCCCCTTTGCTCACAAGGACACCCGGCATCGGGGTTATGGTCTAGGGTCCGGGTGGGCCACGGTCCTCCTCCTCCTCGACACTCCCTCCCTCCCTCCGCCACCCCCACCTCGCTCCTCGCTCCTCGCTCCTCGCTCCTCGCTCCTCGCTCCTCCTCCTCCTCGCTCCTCCTCCTGCTCCTCCTCCTCCTCCTCCTATCCTCCTCCCTCCTCCTCCTCCTCCTCCTCCTCCTCCTCCCTCCTCCTCCTCCTCCTCCTCCTCCTCCTCCTCCCCCTCTCTTCTCCTCTTCCTCCTCTTCCTCCTCCGTTTCCTCCTCCTCTTCCTCCCCTTCCCCCCCTCTTCTTCCTCCTCCCTCTCCTCCTGATCCTGTCGTTCTTCCTCCCGGCCCGCGTCGTGCGCCGTTCTCATGTCTGCCATCCTATCCTCTCCCCAACTCCCACGTCATCGCCCCCCCTCCGTTTCCCCCTTCATCCCCCTTAGTTTCGTCGTCCTTTTGTGATGTATCCTCCTCCTCCTCCTCCTCCTCCTCCTCCACCTCTTCCTCCTCCACCTCTACCCCTACCTCCTACTTCCATCACCGCTGCTCCCCTCGCCCCTCGCATCCTCTTCTCCACAACCCGCATGCTTGCCTCTTTTTCCTTCTCCTCAACCATCCTACTCATATGTATATATATACACATATATTCACACACATATATATATAAGAATAAATGCACCAAAAGAAAAGAAGGGGGAACACACACACACACACACACACACACACACACGGAAAAAAACTAAACAGACAACTCCCTGTCGCACCCCGAAGCCGGTCAAAAGAGCGGGCCAAACGGTTCGCCTGAGTCTCCCTCACAACTTTTGACCCTGAGGCTTGAAGTTTGTACCAACTTCACGGATGGAGGGCGGGTCATTGAAAATGCGTCTCTCCCCTTAGCGCCGCGCAATGTTTTTACAACCCACGCGAAGCCCAGCGGCAGAGACAGGGACAGGGGCAAGGGGAGAGAGGGAACGGGCCGCGCGCAGCGAAGCGTCGTCTGGGTCATCCACCGTGCACCTAATTAGTCAGGTGCGCTGGGGCGCTCGGCCAGGCGCGCCCGCAAAGCCTCGCGCCACACGGCGTCGGTCCCTCCCGCGTGCACCGCCGGGATCAGCAGCACGCCGGCCCCCTTCGCCACCGAAGCCAGGACGCGCGCGCCGCTGGGCCGGCTCGAGAACCGCTCCTGCTGCGGCGCCCAGCGCCCGCAGCGCAGGCACGCCACCCAGCCAACGCCTACGTGGGCGCGCCAGCCGCCGCCGGCGAACAACCCCGCGCCGCCGCTACAGCGCCCCGACGCTGCGCGTTGTTGGCCGTGCGGCGCTGCGCGGGGCCGCGCGCCGCGGGCGCGGCCTCTTCGCGCCGCGCACGTCCGTCGTGAAAAAAATATCACCTTCATGGATGAAGGGTGGATGGTATTCAAAATGCGATCGTAGCTTCAGCGCAGCGCACACTCGTTTTAATTAGTGCAAGAGCTTCACGGACGGAGGGCGGGTCGTTTGCGAACTGCGTCTTTCACTTCAGCGCCGCGCACATCCGTCGCAAACAATTGCAAGAATCTCGCGATGGAAAGGCGGGTCTTTTTGTAACAATGTAACTCTCCCTTGAGCGCCGCGCGCAATCGTCCCAAACGATTGCAGCAGCTTCACAAATGGAGGCCGGTTCTCTTTCAAAGACTCACGTCCCAACAGTCGTGCTTCAGCCCGATGCCGGATCACAACGGAAAAACCGTTCCATTGATTCGTGGAGCTGGTGTCCCACGATACATGCGATTTGGCGAGAATCAGAATCACCAAGACGCAATAATAATGTGCATCCGCGGCGTTGACCACCCAGAAATCGCATTTTGGCAACGTTCCGTTGTTTGTGTTGTTTTTTTTTGCAATGGTTGTTTTCCAACGGACATTTCTGCGAATGGCAACTAATCTTTGTAGTGGCCAATAGAGAGAAACAAAAATGGGAAAACATGTTGAATGCAATATCGTTGATACGTTTTGTGTTCGCACTGGTCCCAATCCTCCTCCTCATACCCCGTCCTCTCCCCCTCCACTCTTCCAACCTCAACCCTTTTCATTATCGAAACTTCTACTCTACGCCTCTGCCCCCCCCCCCCCCCGACACCGCACCCCATCCTTCTTTCTTAAGATTTAACGCCCCCAGACCCCCACCTAGCGGGCCGATTTCAATCCCGCCGTCCCAACGGCCCCAAACAAAAAAAACTCAAACTCCTCTTTTCCCCGCCAACATGTCATCGAATTGCGAAACGTACAACAAGAAAATGACGGAATGAACATCGTTCGGGGGCCCTACATGGGTGGTCGCGTCCTACCTATCTCAAAAAAAAATATATTTCCTCGACAACATGGATTTTCGGGTCGTCGACGTTGCAAAACATGAAACAGGAATGGGACGCGGCGCACATCGCGCGCGGACGCCTGGCCAACCCTACGCGGGACCCCCCGTCCTACCTGGCAAATAAATTTGCAACGTCGGCGTGTTCCTTGCCAACATTTACTTTATCCTCGTCGGCGCTGCGAATCGGGAGGCGGGAATGGGACGCGGCGCGCATCGCGCGGGGACGCCTGCCCGTCAACATGGGTTTTCTTGTCGTCGACGTTGCGGACCGTCGGGTTGAGGAGCTTGGCCGGCGGCAAGTGCGGTTCGCCGCAGGCGCGCCCTTCGTCGTGTCCACGTAAGAGATACCTCTCTCCCTCCCCCCCTCCTCCACCTCGTCCTCCCCCCTCCATGCGCGGCATGAGCGAAACGGTTGGCGGTGCAACGCGCGTGGCTGAAATAAGACGCGGCGCGCTTCGCGCGCTGGGCATGTTGTCACCGACGATGCAACATGAGAGGCCGGAGCGAGGCGCGGCGTACATCGCGCGCGTCCTTGTTTTACGTCGACGTTGCTGAATACGCGGCAAGAATAAGACGCAGCTCATATCGCGCGCTGAACGTCTAGCCGCCCACGGTGTAAGATGATCAACAGGCGCCGGACGCGACGCACTTGCTTCTCATGTCGCGGGAGGCGGGTGGGAGTGGACGGAGCCCTCTGTCTCGTTCGAAGTGGCAAACTTGACCCCACCCCACCCCGCACCCACCCAACCCATCCCGCATCCACTCGCGGCTCCTGCTCGGGGGGCAGCTAAGTGTCCAAGCTAAGTCGGTTCCTGCCTCACTCAAAAAGGGTGGCCGAAGGCACTGACTGATCCCAGCCATCGCCTTACTCCGTCAGCGCGACATACTGGATAATTCACAGACTCATTCTGTCACTTCCAGCCAGTGCATCCACGGTAAAGGCAACGGGTTCTATGACTTAGTCCTTACCTGCCTGACTCCCATATCCCTCGGGGATCTCCTGACCCGAGTCAATCCAGACCCGGGCCAGCAGGAAACCAAAAACCAATGTAGGAAAAAAACTGAAACGCAGGTCTTCGCAAACCCGGGTCAGCCAATATGCGCGGCCGCCTCGCGGCGACGAGCGGCTCGCTAACCCGGGTCAGCCAGAGGGGGTCTTCGCAGGATCCTGCAGGATCTGGCTCCCTAGCTGACCCCCGTTTGCACTGACCCCCGTCTCGAGGCTCCCGAAATCCCATTCCCTCGCATTTCTCCGCCTCCGTGGCCCTCGCCCTCTTCCCTCTCCTGCGCCCCCACTGCCCGCCGAGCGCGCCTCGGGCATGCCCGCCGCCTTCATTGCCGCCTCCTTCGCCATCTCCCACGCGCTCTGCGGCCGGCGGGGGACGTCGCTGCTCCAGAGGGGCGGGGGATTGATGAGGGACAGACAGTCCCAGCATTCCCATGGGCGTACCACGAAATATTCTCGGGCCACTCGGGGAAGTTCTGAGAACCACAGCGGTGTTCTTAGAATCCAGGCGCAAGGGGCTGATGTGTGAGAACACAACAAGCCCAAGCAAGCACGTCATAAATACACGCCGTGCAAACCTGAATTCTTTTGTGGGCCTCCAGAAAAGACTGGGATGCGGATGCTTCGCAACGGAGGGAAGGCCGAAGCCCCCGTACTGCAACATGCATGTTGCAATATATTCTGCGGCGAACCACGCGGGCTCCCCAACAACTTTTTTTCTTTCCTGGCTCTTACGAACCGTCGGCGATCCACGATGGTCGACGCTAAACCGAGGCCACTCAACGCCGGTCGATGCTAAATCGAAGCTCGCCGTTCGGAGTCGACTCTCGCTGACGCTAGTCAAGCGCTGTCTCATCGATTACCGCACGCTGATCGACGCCAGCGCGCTCTGAAGAGAAGGGTCGCCTTCGTAAGCAAGGCTCGTGGCAAGCAGGCAGGTAAGCAGGGGCACGCCGGCGGGGTGCACACGTGCCCCTCTGGCGCGTGTTCGGCGCGTGGGTCATGTGGCGGTTCCCTCCCCTCCTCGGGGGGGCGGCGGGCCGCCCTGCGGCGACGTCCAGCACACGTGGCGTGGCAGCCGTGGGCCTAGCGGGGCGGCTGCCCATCCTCGCCCGGGTGCCCCCCGGGTCGGAGTACACACAGTAGGAGCTCGACCACAAGAGACCTCACACAAGGAACTCAACCCTGAGACCCCAAGACGTCCAGTGTCTTTCACGTGCGAGCGTCGCGCTTCCCGTAGCAAGACCATCGAGACCCAAGAAACCCAGGGCACCTTGGAGGCAAGCAGGGTGTTTCTTGGCATGGATTTCCACTGCATTGCAAGCCGAGAAGTGCCAGTCCTTCTCCTCCGTCCTCCTTTTGCACCCCGGGTACATTCCAGCCACAGGGCTGGAGCGCTCTGTGGGGAAAGAGTGCGCGGGGTCGACTTGGGCAAAGCGCGAGCACATTAGGAGAGGCCAGCGTCGATAATGAAAAGGGCAGGGCAAGAGAGACAAGCTAAAGGAAACATGCCCACGGGCCCGAAACATACGCTAGCATCGAGTGTCTGGTCGGAATGAGGGAACCGAGCCGAAAGAAATACGATTGCAAGGATACCGGACACACGAAGAGGCAACGAACGAGGGAGAGGACAAACTACGCGTGCAAGCCTGCACGATTTAAAAAATAGCGACGTGCAATCTGCAGGGCTGTAGGCTGGCAGGCAAGCTGGCTAGCCGATTTGGCAACTGTCTGGTCGGGTACCCCCCCACAGACCCATGACCACCCGCCACCCCCAAATACAAATATGGCTCAGTGATGTGCTTGCTGGCCTATACGCAGTGAGAGAAATAGAGCAAGCGGCTGACACAGTGTACAGTTGTTTTTTTTTAGCTGGTGTGAAGGCGTGGATCAGCCAGGCTGGGCAAATTAGTACTGGTAGGCTACAACTGTGTCAAATGTTGGAGTATACTGTTGTCAATGGGACTGGCCCTGGGTGCAAGTCCCCTACCGACGGGCCAAAACAGCCGCGAATAACGATCCCACCCACACATCCCCCCCCAGAAGTATCCACCACCTTCACCGCCACCTATTCATGTCGGCTGGCCTGTTGGTGATGGCTGCGGGCATCGACTTAGTGCGCAGGGCGCTTATAGTTCTGGGATGACCGTGATCTGGCACAGACAGTACTGGCTAGCCTACGGTGCGATTCAAATGCAAAGCACAGCTCTTATACGAGTGTAAGGCTGGCACGGTAGCGGCTGGCCGGAAATGCTAGAAAGTGCACTTTAGATGCGGATTCTAAAACGTGGATGTGGAGATCAGAGTAGCAAGAACTGGGCAATGTTGGGCTGGGCTAGCTATACTGCTGGGCTGGTAGAAGGCTGGCGCAAGCGGTACTGGCTGGCCAATGCTACTGACATGGGTGCTCTTCCTCCTCCTCCTCACCACCAACGACATCCACCCTCCAGTACTATACTTTACATATACATATATATATATGTATATCTATAACTACATGAATAATTCGCTGAGCAATTAATGCTGTAGCTGTACAGTGGGGTGCTACAGAAAATAATGATAAGCGGCGGGCATGCTGTTGCTGCGACGAAGCTAGCGTGCGGCGGCCATGGAGGGTTATGAATTCGAAGGGGTTGCCCGAAAAGGGCCAGGCCGAAAAAAAGTTCGGAGGGAAATGTATGCGGAATTTCCAGAGTTAGAAAGGAATTCCGTATACCAGGGATAATGCTGCATCTCAGAGACGGTCGAATCAGAATTGCCCGAGAAGCGCCAGGGCCAGGAAGGAAAAAAAGGAGTTAGAAAAGGACTGTGATAAGAAATTCCCGAAGTTAGAAAGGAATTTCGAATACCAGGGGCAATTCTGCATCTCAGAGACAATCGAATCAGTATTGCCCGAGAAGCGCCAGGGCCAGGAAGGAAACAAAACTTAGAAAAAAATGTGATAAAGCATTTCCAAGAATTTTAAACGGAATTTCGAATACTGGGGGTAATTCTGCATCTCAGAGACAATCGCCAGGGCAAGGAAGGACAAAGGAGTTAGAAAGGAATGTGATAAGGAATTTCAAGCGTGAGTATAGAATTTCGAATACCAGGGGTAATTCTGGCTCTGACGCCTCTCGGGAAATGCTGATTCGATTGTCCCTGACATGCAGAATTACCCCTGGTAGTCGACATGCCTTTCTAACTCTGGAAATTCCTTCTCACATTCCTTCCTAACTCCTGTTTCCTTCCTGGCCATGGCACTTCTCGGGCAAGTATGATTCGATCGTCGCTGAGATGCAGAATTGCCCATGGTATTCGAAAACCCTGTCTAATTCTGGAAAATTCGTATCACATTCCCATGTAACTCCTGCTTCCTTCCTGGCCCTGCGCTTCTCGGGCAATTCTGATTCGATTGCCTCTGAGATGCAGAATGTCCGCTGGTTTTCGGAACTCCTTGCTAACTTTGAAAATTCCGCAACAAGTTCCTTTCTAACTCCTGTTTCCTTCCTGGCCCAGTGGCTTCTCGGGCGGCAAGTATGATTCGATTGTTTCTGAGATGCAGAATCACCCCTTGTATTCAACATTCCTTTCTACCTTTTTGGAAATTCTTTATCACATCGCGTTCTAACTCCTGTTTTCTTCCTGGCCCTGACGCTGCTCGGGCAAGTATGATTCGATTGTCTCTGAGACGCAGAATTACCCCTGGTATTCGACATTCCTTCATAGCTCTGGAAATTCCGCATCCAATTCCTTTCTAACTCCTTTTCCCTTCCTGTCCCTGGCGATTAACTCTGAGATGGAGAATTACCCCGGTATTCGAAAATCCGTTCTAACTCTGGACATTCCTGATCACATTCCTTTCTAACTCCTGCTTCCTTCCTGGCCCTGGCGCTTCTCGGGCAATTCTGGCTCTATTGTCTCTGAGATGCAGAATTACCCCTGGTATGCAAATTCCTAAGTCTGGAAATTCCTTATCACATTCCTTCCTAACTCTTTTTTCCTTCTGGCCCTGGAGCTGCTCGGGCAAGTATGATTCGATCGTCCCTGAGATGCAGAATTGCCCATGGTACTCGAAAACCCTGTCTAACTCTGGAAATGTAGTGTCACATTCCTTTCCAACTCCTGCTTCCTTCCTGGCCCTGGTGCTTCTCGGGCCTGATTCGATTGTCTCTGAGATGCAGAATTACCCATTGTATTCAAAATTCCTTTCTACCTTTGGAAATTCCTTATCACATTCCTTTCTAATTCCTTTTCCTTCCTGGCCCTGGCGATTCTCGGGCAACTCTGATTCGATTGCCTCTGAGATGCAGAATTTCCGTTGTTTTTCGAAAATCCGTTCTAACCCTGGAAATTCCGCATCAAATTCCTTTCTAACTCATTATGTTCTTCCTGGCCCTAGCACTCATCGGACAAATCCGTTTCGACTTTTAGCTTAGATTCAAAAGTATCCCCTACATGCGGAATTCCTTTCTAACTCGAGAAACGTATTTTTTCTACTTCCTTTCCAACTCTCTAGAAATGCAGGACCAAACATTGTCTTATCAACACTCTGAGCCTGCAGTAGTAATTCCCATCACAATGATTGCTGTACTTGTATACAGCGCGCGCTACAGCAAATAATTCCTAAACCAATTAACGCTGTACTGCAGCCCAAAAAAATATAGTATGTGTAGCATGGTCGGCGCTGGCTGCAAGTGGATCAAAGCCGGCCTAAGCAGGCCAGCCTGCAGGTCTGAAAGCACTTGCCCGTAAGAGAAGGGCAAATCTCACCTGACTCTCGTAGTCGTCATCCTGTGACGAAGGTGTTGGAAACGTGCCGAAACCATTCCCCCCAAGATGATCCCATCCCACCTCTCCATGCCTCCAATCCCTCCTCCTCCTCCTCCTCCTCCTCCTCCTCCTCCTCCTCATCATCATCATCATCATCCTCATCCTCCTTCTCCTCCTCCCTTCCACCTCCTCCTCCTTCCTCCTTCCACCTCCTCCTCCTCCGCACCACCCCATCTTCCCCGTCCTCCTCGTCCGTCCTCGTCCCTCCGAATCATCCCTCCTCCCGGCTACTGTTGCCGTTGTCTCTCCCCTGTTGAATCCTCCCCCGTCCGTCCTCCTCCCCTCGCTGGTGCAGCAGCTGCGCCTCCTTCTGCCCCCCTCGTCCCCTCATCCGCCCTGCTGCTGCTCCAGCCACTCCTGGGACGACAGAGAGGACAGGGAGGAGCAGCGACGATTACGACGAAGTCGACGTCGTCGACGACGATGACGACGACGAAGAGATCAGATTGGTGACTTGTTCAATGCTGGGCCGCCAGAAGCACCGTCCCATCCCCTGGGCTGCGAGCTGTTATTGACGGCCCCGCGGGCTGAAAGCACGCCCTGGAACACTGCAAACAGCGAACGCACACTCTTGTTCCACAAACAGTGCTTGCACTTAGGGGCCCTTACTTCTGTCAAGAAGAACTGGGCCCTGGTGCTGGTCTGGCCAGCCAGTCGCCGCCCGTCGGCGCCTGGGCCACACTGCTGCCGGTCTGGTTGGCTCGTCGACGCCCGTCGCCGCTGTCCGTCGCCGCCACTTGCACTGGGTCCCGATGCCCATCCGGCGGGCTCGTCGCCACCCGTCACCGCAACTCGCCGCCGTCCCTCGCCGCCACTTGCACGCGTTCACTCGCATAGCATAGTAGCATGGCACAGCATTGTTCATCTTACTGCACTATAGTACGGCATGGCAAAACATAGTATTACATATAATAGCATTGTGCAACCAGCGTGGTGCGACTTAGGATTGCACTGAATCGATTGCATTGCGGAGATTGCCCCGCATTGATTGGCACTGCATGGATTGCACTGCGTAGATTGCGCTGCGCAGGCTGCACCCGACATAGCTTGTTTCAATCAGTTGAAGGTCTTGGGGGTGTCCGAGAGGGGTGGGTCCAGAGGGGGGATCGCAAATCAGGGCCCGAGGCATGTGCGCAGCCGATGGGGGGAACCAATGACATATTGAAAAAGAAGAAGGGGGCATGGACTACGGGGTTGTGCCAGGGACCTGGCTGGAATATCCACCCCCCTACTCTTCACCACCCTCTTGGCCGCCCCCTAGTAGGACCACCGATCCGAGAAATCCGAGCGGACATCTGGAAGTCTACACTTATGCAGCTACTTCGTCTTCTTCTTCTTCGAAGTCGACGGCGGCGGTGCACGTCGACGCCGACGACGGATAACAATGACGGCGACGAGTCGACGACGACGAGCCGCCGACGTCGACGGCAACTGGGTAAATCACGAGACACCGATACCGCTACTCCCCAGACCTGTCCTGGGGTTCGTTCTGACAAGAATTTCGAGGCGCATCCAGCCGTAGCGACCAGGGCCTCCCAGGACACCCAATAAAGGCGAAAACGAAAGAAGGCTATCCGTATCGGTACCTGTTCAGGTGGCGACATCCGAACCCTACCCCAACCGACCATCGATTTTCTTGAATCGATGGGAGGCGCGGATATTGTTCGGATTTCGCGACGTGTTCGACGAAGTCCGAACCCTGACACGGCCGCGCATCGGGTAGCCTGAAGCGTGCAGATCCAAGAAATCCGCGCGGACCGCAGACAGTTTATGTTTATGCAGTTGTTTCATCTTCGATCGTCGTCAACGACAGCAGGTCATCGTCATCGCAATCGTCACCACCAACACCATCAGCGTCGTCACATCGTCATTGTGATCATTCTCGGCATCAGCATCGCTATCACCACCAGCATCACCACCAGCATCACCATAACCATCATCATCATCATCATCATCATCATCATCATCATCCTCCTCGTCATCATCATCACCACCATCGTCATCACCATCGTCATCATCATCATCGTCACCATCATCATCACCATCACCATCATCATAACCATCATCATCATCACCATCATCATAACCATCATCATCATCATCATCACCATCGTCACCATCATCACCATCATCATCATCATCATCATCATCATCATCATCATCATCATCATCATCATCATCATCATCATCATCATCATCTGGTCGCTCGTAATGGGGTTGCAGAAACTGCAACCACTTACCACCTGGCTCATGGAGCGTGGCTGCTCTCATGGACCAACGAAGCCGAGTGCGACGCACTCTGCCAGCACACAGCACGATTCAGCACGAACGACTGCACGATCTATTGCGTACATGTTCGAGGTCCCCATTGCCAAAGACCCATCATGGGGAAATCCACAAGGACCAATCCCGCTGCTCCCCAGACCTCTCCAAGGGTGCGCTCTGACAAGAACCTCGGGGCGCATCCGGCGCTGGCGAGGAGGGCCCCCCAGGAGGCCCTGGCAGGGGAAGGCGAGGGAAGGGCAGCGGTGTGGGCACCCTTTTCCTCCTCTGACCTCCGCCCGGAGCTGCATCACCCCTTGGGCGCCCAAGTTATCTGGGGTAACTCGGGCCCGGGGCAACTCGGGTTCGGAGTCCCGAAAAACGAACCCGAGTTAGCGCTGACCCGAATTATCCCTGATGATTTGGGGCTCTGGACGCCCGAGTTATCCGGGGTAACTCGGGCCCCAGGCAACTCGGGTTCGGATTCCCGAAAAACGAACCCGAGCTAGCCCTGACCCGAGTTACCCCCGATGATTCGGGGCTCTGAACCCCCGTCCTCGTCGCCCCCGCCGAGTCGGCGGCGACGGCGGCGGCGGCGGCCTCCATGTCTGGGTCGCCGCGCCACGCCTCCTGCAGCCCGCCGAGGCCAGGCCCGCCGCCCGCCGCGAAGAGCCGCTCGAGCTCCTGGGGGGGGGGCGGCCAGTGTCGCCGTGGCTGCGCCGCCTCGCGGCCTCGCTGCCCTGCCGAGCTGCCCGGCCCTCCTGGTCTTCCCGGTCCTCCTCCTGCCGCTGGTCCTCCTCCTCCTGCTGCTGGTCCTGGTCCTGGTCCTGGTCCTGGTCCTGGTCCTGGTCTTCATCCTCCTGCGTACTCCGCCAGTTCCTCTTGCTCCTCCTCCTCCTCCTCCTCCTCCTCATCCTCCTCCTCCCTACTCCTCCTCCTCCTCCTCTTCTCCTCCTCTCCTCCTCCTCCTCCCCCTCCTGCTCCTCCTCCTCCTCCACCTCCTCCTCCTCCTCCTCCTCCTCCTCCTCCTCCTCCTCCTCCTCCTCCTCCTCCTCCTCCTCCTCCTCCTCCTCCTCCTCCTCCTCCTCCTCCTCCTCCTCCTCCTCCTCCTCCTCCTCCTCCTCCTCCTCCTCCTCCTCCTCCTCCTCTCCTCCTCCTCCTCCTCCTCCTCCTCCTCCTCCTCCTCCTCCTCCTCCTCCTCCTCCTCCTCCTCCTCCTCCTCCTCCTCCTCCTCCTCCTCCTCCTGGTAGCTGCCGCTGATGGCAGTACATCTGAGGACGGTGTTGCTACCCGTGCCAGCCCTCCAGCGGAAATCCTCCTGATCCTCCTCCTTCGCTCGCTCGTCGGTCCGTGCCCCTCTGGGCGACGACGACGACGAAGAGGTTCCAGGGGGTTCTTCGTCAATTTCGGCCTCGAGAAGCCCGTCTCCTCACCAAGCTCCCTTGGCTCACCAAGCTCACCAAGCTCCTCCTCGCTCCCGATCGCTCCCGATCGTTCCCCCATCGCTCCTCGAACAACTCTGGCCAGGATGGGCCCAGAGAGGGGTCTGGAGACAGGTGTTAGTCGGAATTGGGTCGGCCCTTGGTCGTCATTCCATCCTCTTCCCTCTCCATCCTCCTCATCCGCCCGTCCTCCGTTCCTGTTCTCGAGCCCTCGCCTCCTCATCCGCCCTCCTGCTCCTTCTCCACCCCCTATCCTCCTCGAGCACCTGTCTGCACCATTCTCCTCCGCCCTTCTCCTCCAACCATCCTGCACATCCCTCCCCCATCCTCCATCCCTCCTCCTCCTGCTCCTCCTGCTCCTCCTCCTCCTCCTCCTCCTCCTCCTCCTCCTCCTCCCTTCTCCTCCCGTTCTGCATCCGTTCGCCTCACGTCCTCCGTCATCCCTGCCCATCCCCCCCCCGACGACGACGACGCTGACGACATTGAAGACGACGACGACGACGACGACGACGACGACGACGGCGACGACGACGACGACGACGGCGACGACGGCGACGGCGATGGCGACGGCGATGGCGACGGCGACAACGCCGACGCCGACGAGAACGACAACGAGGCCGACCCCGACCACAACCCGCAAGGACGACGACCACGACGGTGACGACGAAACACCGACTCCGACGGCGGCAACGACGACGGAGACGAAGGCAATGCCGACGACGACGACGACGACGACGACGACGACGACGACGACGACGACGACGAGGACGAGGGCAGGGCAGGGCCGAGCGAGCGCGCGCGGGCGCCTTTCTCTCGGCGTCGGTGGCCGTGGCGGCCTGAGGGAGGCGGGCGGAGGGCCACGGAGCGGGGCGCCTTGGCGTCGCGGGTGCCCGATTCGGGGGGGAGGGGCGGCGGCCGGAACTGTCAGGCGATGACGGCGAACAGGGCGACGACGACGCGTGCCTCGTCGTCGACCGTCGTCCTCGCCCACGGCGGCGACAGGGAGGGAAGGAGGGCGGCTCGAGGGTGGGGATCGAGGGTCGAGAGATAGAGGGGGGCGTCCTCCTCCTCCTCCTCCTCCTCCTCTTTCTTCCCTTCCCCCTCCTCGTCCTCCTACTTCCCTCCTGATCTTATCCCTCTCCTCGCCCTTCGGCGGATCCGCCTCTGGGCTGTGTGCATGTTAAGGCATGGGGGAATGCAAAGGGCTGCCTGGAAGGGCTTCTGTACTCGATTGAGGGACACCCCCTCGCATTATCCGCATGCATCGCCCCCCCTCTTGATGCCATGGTCCCTCGTAAGAAAGTAGCGGATCCGCGCTCACGAGGCCAGTACCCAACGCTATCATCTCGGCGCAGGACCAAACCATCTGCAGTTGTGAGCACCGCACTGGTTGATAACGCCTTCAGTGGAGTCCCCCTTGAGGCCACGAAACGTGTGAGGTGTGCGCAAACATGGGCCTGGGAGCGTATGCGTGCCCTGCCACTGGGGCCTTCGGTGGACTTCCCTGTAGGGCCACACATCGCGTGAGGGATGTGCCCCCCAAATGGGCCTGGCGACCCATGCACCATGCAGGCGCTGCCGCCCGCCCCGTCGTTGGAGCTCCCTCTGGGGCCACGAGACGTGTGAGGGGTGTGCCGGAAGGCCCCTGGGGGCGCATGCGGGCTCTCTGCTGCTGGGGCCTTCGGTGGAGCTGCCTGCGGGGCCACGGGACCCTGGTGGGCCCCGGAAACGGCAGGGCCGTTTTTCCGCGGTTTCCGAAGAAGTGTCCACGGCGGCCGGAACCGGCAGCAATAACGGCTCCAGGATCAAAACCGGAGCGGGAGCCCGCAAAAGAACGGCGACGGAACCGGCAACAAAAACAGCGCCGGCGGAGCCGGCCAAAAGAAGGCAAAACGGGACCGGTCACGAAAACGGCCCCCTGTCGTTTCCAGGGCCCACGAGGCACCTCCTCATCACGATGCCAATCTTAGGGATTCCCTTATTTTTTGAGGGCGAGTCCCTGAGATTGTCATCGCCGTTTGGCGTGTCAAACTTAGGGATAGGGATACGTTCGAGGCTGGTAAGCCTGCGAGCTGCAGGAGAGCCCAGAATCGAATCGATAAATCGGATCGGCAATCGACATGAATCGGATCGGCGAAAAATCGGCAGCCGAATCGGGAAAAGTCGAATCGGCGGAAATCTGCAGGCTAGTATGCCTCCAATAAGAAATCGGAATCCAAATCGGAAGCCCAAGTCGAATCGAATCGGAATCGGAATCCATCGAAGTCGAATCGAATCGAATCGGAGGAATCGAAACGAGCCCTGGAGCTGCACCGCTGGAGGCTTTGGTGGAGCTCCCTGCGGGGCCGCGGAACGCGGGAGCGGTGCTCGCCGGAGTGGGCACGGGGGGCCGCCTGCGCCCTCCCTCTCCCCGTGGGGCCTCGGGTGGAGCTCGCTGTGGGGCCTCACGGTAAAACGACGCGAAGATCGGGACAAAATCGGATCGGGATAACTCGAAATCTCTGAGAATCGGCGGGTTTGGAGGATGTATTGGGCGCCGCGGCCGCTCCAGAGCGTTCCAGAACGCTCTGAGAGCGCTCTGGAACGCTCGGGGGCGATTTATCCCGATCCTAGCCCTGTTTTACACAGGACCTGTAAGGGGTGCACCGAGCCGGACGTGCCGACGGCCGAGGCAGGGAATGGGGGGGGGAAGGACCCTGACCTTCCAAGAGGGCTAAGAAATAGCACGCGACTGAAAAACCTATCCCAAAGCTATTCTGCGTCTTGGTTTTGGGCTGTTTCGCTAAGTTTTTTTAGGCCTCCAGTGCTAAAAAATAGCTCTCTGGAAGGTCAGTGGAGGGGGGGGGAGGGAGGAGACGCGGGGCGACCTCTCTCCCAAACGGTGGCCCAGCAGCACAGGGTGGTTGGAAGCACTGCGGATCCAGGTGCGCGTTCCGAGCTTCCAAGACGGCCCACGCAAGCAACCCAAAACGCCAACATCGCCCAAAATGCCTCGAAAACGACCCAAGACGGCCCCATGGCGGCCAACCGTCACCTCAAGACGGCCCAAGATGCCTCCAAGAGAGCCCAACATGGCCACGAGAATCCCTCCTCAAGTTGTCCGAAGACGCCTAAATCATTCATCCCCCTTGTGCTTCTGAACGATGTTCGCATTCTCGCACGTTCAAAACTTCCGTCAACTCAAGACGTCAGAAGCATCCAAGACGGCCCAATGACGGCCCAAGAGGGTCTCCTGTGGGCTTAAGCTGGCCTGTGAAGGCCTTTCGACGGCCCAAGGCGGCCCCTGCGACTGCCCCCAGGCACTCGCCATCATCAGCATCATTAGCAGCATCATTATTATTATCGTTAGTAGCATCATAATCACCATCATCGTCAGCAGCACCAGCATCAGCATCAACCTCACCATCACAATCATCACAATAATCATCATCACCATCATCGTCATCGTCATCATCATCAACATCAGCAGCATCCTCATCAGCATAATCATCATCGTCATCGTCATAATCATCATCAGCATCATCAGCATCATCTGCATCATCGTCATCGTCATCGTCATCGTCCTCATCATCATCATCATCATCATCATCATCATCATCATCATCATCATCATCGTCATCGTCGTCATCATCATCATCATCACGGCTCTCCCACCCTTGAACAATCGCCACCCAGAATGATGGGCCGGTACGGTAGCGGGACTTGACGCAGGCAGCTGGATAGAGAAAGACTCAGCCTAATGGGAAGGGATGGGTGAGAGGGCCATCGTCCTCGTCCCCTTGTCGCCTCATCCCTCTCCTCGTCCCCCTGAGCCCCCTCTGCTGCCCCTCGGCCCGCCCCTTGCTCCCCCTGCTCCCCCCTGAGCCCCTCTGCTACCCCCCTGCTCCTCGCCTGCAGACAGACGGCACCACTGCGACGACGACGACGACAACAACGACGACGACGACGACGACGACGACGACGACGACGGCGACGACGGCGACGACGGCGACGGCGGCGACGGCTGCCGCGGCCTCGGTGTCGTAGAGGGCCTCCCAGTCGACCTGGCAGGCGAGCGGCCCGCACCGACCGCGGCCCCCCCCCCGCGGGGGCAGCGAGGGGGGGGGGCGGGCGGGCTCTCCCCCGGGCGGCCCCTCGGAGGCCCTCTCGGGGAGAGTGAAGGGGAACTGGGACACACAAATAGATAGACACAAATAACCGGATTCCCCACATTCTCCTATATTTTCTGGGTTTCTGTCTTCCCCCCCCACTTCCCAGATTTTCCCATATTTTCTGGGGAATCGACGGTTAATTGTGTCTGTGTGTTTTTTCCCCTCCTGAGAGAGGCCCAGCAGCGACAATTCTCAGCAGGATCCCTCGCGCAAGGCCCGCTCCCTCGCCGTCGCTCGGGCGTCCGCTCCCCGTGCCGTCGCCGACGTCGCGCGCGCGCGCCTGTGCTGTTTTTTGCGTCGCCGGTGAGCCAATGAGATGCGCCTCGACAGTCCTCGCCGAGGACACAGGATGCACACGTCCGAGCGTCGAGCTCCTGGGCCTCGCGTGGGGCCCGGGATGGGCGGTGGACAAACCTCCCTTCAGTAAACCTCCCCATCCGTGAACACGGCCTGGGACCGAAACCGACGGACCTGGACCCGCGACAAAAAGACGGCCGCGACGCCCTCTCGCGAACCCAAAACGGCCCATGCCCGAATCGGCGCGTCAGGGCAGGAGGTCGATCCACCTCCGGCAGAAGCGGCGCCAGGAGGCTGGGGCCCGTCGCCCCGGCCTTTGGGTGCCCTCAGGCTCCCCCACGGAGACCGCGGGGGCGAAGACAACAGCCACGACGCGACGCCGCGGGGGGCAGACCTCAGCGCGCTATCTGCTGGAGGGCCACCGAGGGGCAGCACGCTTGCTCGATCGGCAGCACGCCCGTGAGGCTCGCTTCTGTCCCAGAGCTTTCACGGAGACACCTAGGCTGGGGCACGAAGAAACAAGGCGAGCCGTGCGAACGACGGCGCGGCCACCTCACCCAGAGGCTTCTTCGGGACGCCGCGTGCGGAACGCAGGAACAGAAAAGGGGACGTCTGGCCGCGCGAGCGCACACGGGCAACTCACGCGCGGATGCCCACGCGGTCAACCCCGCTGTTGCACCAGTCGACCAGATGCCCTCCCGAAAACCCTGGCTGTCTCGCCCGTCACCCAGACGGTCGCGTGCAAGATAGGGGGAACGTTGTTCGAGGGCCGAGGCTTTGTTTGATACCGGTGGCTTTTTTGTTCTGCATCCTGGAACGCCCTTTTGTGCCACAGCTGGATTCCCCTTGCATCGCTTGTCACGCGCACCCCTTGGGCGCGGCTTCATGGGGGGTCATAAATGGGGGGGTCAAAAACGCTCCCCTTTCGTGCCTCTTTCGGGCCCCTCCGGAGCCGGGGGGGGCTCATTAGGTACCGTTTGGGTACCTTTTTGGACCACCCTCGCCACCCCCCCATTTACGACGCCCCCATTACGCAACGCCCAAACCCCAGGACAGGTCCGAGTGCCGGCTCTCGACTGGGGGACCCAGGCACAATCCTGCGAAAGGGGGAGGCAGGGCTGGAATTGGCGGGGGCCGCAGCGGGAAAGAGGAGGAGGGCGGGCAAGCCATGATTGATGGAAGCGCGCCACGGGTGTGCAGGTGCAGAGAAGCGGCACTCTCGCCCGTCTTCGCTCGCTGGCCTCTGCGCACGTCGACCGGCCCCACAGCGCGACCCCGCGCCCCCGCAGGCCCGCTCCCCTTCGAGAGCTGGGGGCCCCCTCCTCCTCCACCCATCTCCTCCATCCACCCTCCTCCACCCTCCTCCTCCTCCACCCTCCTCCTGCACCACCCTTCTCCTCCACCCTCCTCCATCCATAAAACGACGCGAAGCTCGGGACAAAATCGGATCAGGATAAATCGAAATCTCTGACAATCGGCGGGTTTGGAGGATGTATTGGGCGCCGCGGCCGCTCCAGAGCGTTCCAGAACGCTCTGAGAGCGCTCCGGAACGCTCTGGAGCGATTTATCCCGATCCTAGCCCTGTTTTATCCTCCACCCTCCTCCTCCTCCACCCTCCTCCTGCACCACCCTCCTCCTCCACCCTCCTCCTCCACCCTCCTCCATCCACCCTCCTCCATCCACCCTCCTCCTGCAGGAGGAGGGCTTACCCATGCGTCTGCACTGCACCGTGCAGATACTCCACAGGCGCATGGAGTGCGCGGCAACGGCCGCCCCGCGCAGGCCGCTGGCCGGCCCGTCTCCCTGCAGGCACGGCCCGCGCCCAGCCTTCCTGCTCCTCCCTCCCCTGCCTACCAGCACACTTCTGGTCACCATCATCCCCAACACGCTCGCTCCCATGCTTCCTCTTCCTCTCTCTCTCTCTCTCTCTCTCTTCCTCCTCCGCCCCTTGTCCGCATGACGCCTTTCTGCCCCTGCACATCTCGAGGCTGCAAACATTCCCATCCTTTCTCCCCCTCTCCCTCTCTTTTTTTGTTGTTTCTCTCTCTCTCTCTCTCTCTCTCCTGCATCCCTTATCCGAATGACGTCTCCCTGCTCCTGCACGTCTCGAAGCTGCAACCCTTCCTTGGAAATGCTGTCCCCAGATGGGTTGCTCCACAAGGAGAGCACCCCCTGAGTCACTCCTCTCCGAGCGCAGTGCGTTGGCGGCCAGCCGCGCCTGCACGCCGTCGCGGTCCACGACGGTGTTCTCCTCGAACTGCAGCTCGCCTTTGCTCACCTTCGCCGCGGGTACTTGCGCGAGACTCTCGGGCAGACGCACGGGCGGCATTTCTGGTGAGACGGAGCACGAGCGGACCAGGATGTCACGAGCCTTCCTTGGGTATGAATCCTGTTTCCTTGTCCAACCGCCTCGAAACCCTCCTCCTCCTCCTCCTCCTCCTCCTCTTCCACCTCGTCCTCCTGCCTGCTCCTCACCTTCTTCGTGCTCACGCTCATCAAACTCCAATTGGCCCTTTATCATCTTCGACCTCCTCCGGCTCCTCGTGCTGCAAGATCACAGTTCCTCGCGTCCCGCGCCTCGACCCCCTGCACCCTCTTGCCTCGTCCTCCTCCTCGTCCTCGTGCCCGTCCTCGTGAGTCCTTGTTACCTCCGCTGGTCGTCGTCCTGGTCCTGCTCCTCGTGATCATGACCACGTTCCCTCTCCTCCCCCTCCTCCTCCTCAACCTCCACTTCCTCCACCTCCTCCTCGCGCTCCACCATTCCCTCCTCCCCCTGGATACATCGCGAATCTCTGAGATCCGGCGGCTCTAGAAGATGTCTCGGGCGCCGCCTCATCAAGTTTTGATAACGTTCCAGAATGCTCTGGAACGGGTCTGTCCTCGTCCTAGCCCCGTTAGATCTTCGAAGGCCCACGGCTGCGTAGAGTTAAGTCGGGCCTGTCCCTCTACAGGAGGAATCTTGAAAAATAGTAAGAAATGATCAGGGGACGATGGTTTTAACATATTTTGCAACTTTCGGGTATGATTTGACAGATTTTTTTATTTTTCGTCCAAAAGGCCCCTGTAGGGGACAGGCCCGACTTAAGCGTAGAGGCTCATCGCGACCGTTTTAGGCAGCCGCACCCCATCGCCTCCCCCCCCGCTGGGGGAGCATGGCGAGAGATGGGGACGCGGCCACGAGATCTGGGGAATCTCATGGCCCTGGCCATGGTACCCTCACACCCTTGGTCCTCACCCCCTCCTTAGACGCCCTCGACATCTGGGGAATCTCATGGCCCTGGCCATGCTATCCACACCCCCATCGGTCCTAACACCCCCATCTCATGGACGCCCCCGATGAGAGGAGAGCCCCCCGCCCATTGCGAGGGCAGAGCGCCGAAGCGCGCGCGACCACTCGACCGCCTCCTCCACCATGACGTGTGCTTCTCCCTGGAGCTCCCTTACTCTAGCCGCCGTGCCAAGAGACGTAGCCCGCTGTGTCGCGACATGCTCGCAATACAATCCCGGCCATGCACACACCACGCAGCAACATGTCGCACCTACCTCCCAAACCAATCGCCTAGTACTCCTCCACCACTTGCATCTTCCCTCTCCTCCGACTGTCCTCCTATTCCTCATCATGATCCTCTCCCGCTAACCCTCGTCGTCCGTCTCCGTCTCGTCCTCATCCTCCTCTCGCTCCCCTCCATCCCTGTATCTTCTCCACCCTCCTTCTCCTCCTCTGCGAACTGATCCCTCCCCGCTCATCCTCTCACGAAAGGGGCGGAGCTGCAGCCCGAGGGGGCCTTGTCGATGAAACTGACAAACTTCGAGTTGGCAAACTTCGGGTTCCCGCCTTGCGCCGCGCCCGCGACGCGGCGCCGGCGCCGCCGACAGTCACATCGAGGGATGGCGGGCAGCCTTCAGCCCCGAGGTCGCCAGGGGGGGCCCTCCTTCGCAGCTCACCTCGGCCTGTTCTCGTCCTACGCCTCCTCCTTTTCCTCGACCCTCATGGCTCTTCGGATTCCTCCTCGCTCCTCCCCGTCTTCGTGTCTTTCCTGCTCTTCCTCCTCCCTCCATCTGTCGCCATGTTTGCAATCCCATTGCGTCCATGTTCGTCCTCGCTCATCGTCCTTGTCTTACTCATCCTGCTGCTAGGTTTCCTCCTCGTCCTCAATCTTCTCCTCACCATGAACATCATGATAATCAGCATCAACAACATCATCAACATCATCGTCACCATCATCAGCATCATCATAATCAGCATCTTCATCATCATCATCAATATCAACATCACCGTCACCATCCGCAAAATCATTATCTTTAACATCGTTATCATCATCAGAATCAGAAGCATCAGCATCAGCATCAGCATCAGCATCTGCATCAGCATCAGCATCAGCATCAGCATCAGCATCAGCATCAGCATCAGCATCAGCATCAGCATCATCATCATCATCATCATCAGCATCATCATCATCATCATCATCATCATCATCATCATCATCATCATCGTGAGCCTCATATTCATAATCATCGTCGTCATCAGCATCGTCATCAGCATCAGCATCATCATTACCACCATCAGTATCCTCATCAACAACAGCATCATAATGATCATCGTCATTGCCAGCGTCATCGTCATCATGATCATAATCCTCATCACCAGCATCATCAGCGCCATCATCCTCAACACCAGCATCATCAGAATGATCCCCATCTCCATTACTATCACCATCATCATAGCATCATCACCATCATCATCCTCATTCTCAGCATCATCATCATCAACATCAGCACCAGCATCATCATAAGAATATTAATGATCACCACCACCATTACCACAACCATGGCCATCATCAACACCATCATCATTACCAGCATCATCATCGACAGTATCGTCATCATCAGCAACACCATCATCATCATCGCCATCTTCATCATCAGCATCATCATCATCGTCGTCGTCGTTGTCGTCGTCGTCATGATCATCGACTGTCCCGAGGAGCAAGAATCGAAATCGTTTGCTGGCGGCGAGGGGGGGGGGTTCGAACCGGGAGTGACGCCCCCTTTCCATGATGGACTGGGACTGGGGGGGGAGAGGGGGGTTCGAACCGGTAGTGACCCCCCCGCGGTTTTCGAGGGGGCGGGGGGGACAGGTTGGGAACCCCCAGTGACCCCCCCCCGTTTTCCGCCAGCAGCGGTAGAACACGCTCTCTCATCATCATCATCATCATCATCATCATCATCATCAGCAGCAGCAGCATCAGCAGCATCAACATCATCAGTCAGCAGCAGCATCATCATGAGCATGATCCTTATCCTCCTCCTGATACTCCTCCTCATGCCCAATGTCATACCTCGCCCTCCCTAATTCCTTCCCGTAGTCCGTCCCCTCGTCCAGCCGATTCGTTCGCTGCGGTCTGTCCTGACAGCAGGACAGCACGCCGCTCTCTAATGAACACACAGCATGGCTCCGACGTCGATGCTCCAATGCAGCCGCAAGGCAGCCTCCGCATCTAAGCATATAGACGAAGAGGAGACCAGGGAGGAAAAGGCCAAATGAAGTCTCTGGAGAGTGTCGGGAGGCTAACCTGAAGTCGGGCCTGTCCCCTTACAGGGGAATTTTCGACGAAACATAAAAACATACACCAAACAAATTCAAAACATAGTCCAAACATGGTATGGGGATTATTTTTGAATTTTGTGTTGGCCTTTTTGGGGTATGCTTAGGGTGTTTTTTCCCCCATTTTTCGTCGAGAATCCCCCTGTAGGGGGACACGCCCGACGTAAGCATACAGATGAAGAGGAGACCAGGGAGGAAAAGGCCAAATGAAGTCTCCTGGAGAGGGTCGGGAGGCTAACACACCGTGGCCATCCGCCCCATTCGACCTCCTCCTTTCTACCTCCCTCCTCCTTGCCGCCTGCTTTGGGGGTGTGCCCTGGCGGCGCGTTGCCACTCCTGCCGGGTGCTCGACAGAGTCTCCCTTTCCTTTCCTCCTGCTCCCCATCCTCATCTCCCCTTGCCTTCTCCCCGATCCCCCTGCTCCTCCTCGAAAACCCCTCTTACTATCGACATACCATCCCTCCTCCGAGTCCCGAAGGAGTCCGCTCAGACAAGCGGCTGATCACCGGCCTGTCTCGCGTCCCGTTTCGTCTAACTGGCAGGGTGCCCGAAGCAGGCTTCTAAAGGTCGAAATATTGAGGTGCACCCTCCACCCTCCTCCTCAAGATGACGGCATGAGGATACTAAATCTGGATGGGGCGGCATCGCGAATCTGCGACAACCAGCGGGTCTAGAGGATGCACTTGGCCACACGCCAGAACGCTCTGAGAGCGGTTCTTTGGATGGAGCCAGACTCCTCCTCCTCTTCCTCCTCGTCCTCCCCCCCCCCTCCCCCTCCCGCTCCTCCTCCTCCTCCTCCTCCTCCTCCTCCTCCTCCTCCTCCTCCTCGTACCCACCCCTCCTCCTCTTCCTCCTCCTACTCCTCCTCCCCCTCCTCCTCCACCTCTTCCTCCACCTCCTCCTCCTCCTCCTACTACTACTACAATCATCGTGCTACCTTGAGAAACGCTGACCAACGAACGGAGAATCCTCTCCGGCCACGGCGAGCTTCCGCGGAGAGTCCGCCCGGAAGCCCGAGACCCCTCCTGAGCCCCAAGTCTGGCTTGTCTTAGCGTCAAGACGCTCAGCAACGCTGCCGGACTCAAGAGCAGAGACAGGCTCAGGAGGAGGACGAGGAGGAGGAGGAGGAGGAGGAGGAGGAGGACGAGGAGGAGGAGGATGAGAAGGAGGAGGAGGAGGAGGAGGAGGAGGAGAAGGAGGAGGAGGAGGAGGAGGAGGAGGAGGAGCGGGGTGGGGACGAGGAGGAGGAGGAGGAGGAGGCGGAGGAGGCGGAGGAGGACGCTCGTCTGCGCCGACAGACTCCGGAGACAGAACTACGAAAGTTTTGAGGAGGAGGAGGTGAAGGAGGAGGAGGAGGAGGAGGAGACGAAGGAGGAGGAGGAGGAGGCGAAGGAGGCGGAGGGCCACGGCTCCCTGGAGCAGCTCGTCGGCCGAAACGTGCCCGACCCTCCGGAGGGTCGGGGGTCGTGCGCTGCGCCCCGTCAAGCGCAGAACGAGGCCGTCCACGCGGCAGCCCTCGGTGGCACCACGTGGGAGCCCTCCACACAGGGCAGGTGTTAATACACAGGATGCTTTAAACTATAGGAATTGTAATACATGATTTATTTATGAATGCAATTATGCATGAACTCACCGTGGTTTTTAGTACTAAATCCCTGCATGCTTAATACGTGCTCCGCACGCTGCGCATGTATTAAAAACGGCGCTGTACCGTCGCATTGGCTCTTGCGAATCGGGGCCAATGGAAGTCATTCGACGCTAGATCAACGCTAATCGTCGCTCATCGACGCTGATCCGGCGCTATCTCATCGAGTACCAAATGCCAATCGACGCCAGTGCGCTCCAAGGAGGGGGTTGTGAGGGTACACGAGGCTCCCATGATTTGATACCGAACCAGACCACCACCACCTCGTTCCCCTCCCGCTGGATAACATTCCCATCCCCAAGACCCTGGGTATCATCGTGGCAACCGAATGCATCGTTGTACTTGAGCCAGTCGCTGCGTTGCAGGAGTCTCGACTTCTTGCAACAGGATAGGCATCCACATGTGCATCTACTCCACTGTTTGGGTGTTGCACTTGACCATCCCCTCCCCGTCCCCCCGGAACTACAGACGCCCAAGGCAATGGCAAAACCCAACACCAGTCAGACCATCAGCAAATCTGAAACCGATCGAACCCACCGATCGAAATCGGCAGAAAGAGAGAGAGAGAGAGAGACGCAACGACACAACAAACGGACGAAAACGTGCGGGACGAATGCTCAAAATAGCAAAATGGGGGTTACTGAGGGGCCGGTGTTGGGGCACCTTGTTAGGTTGGCGCCGCCAGCCTTAAGTCGGGCGTGTCCCCCTACAGGGGGATTTTCGACGAAAAACGAAAAATACCCCAGAAATGAACCAAAAATAAACTGGGGACAATGTTCGAGTATTTGTTGACCGCTTTGGGTTATTTTTGAATATTTTTCATGTTCCGTCGAAAATCCCCCTGTGGGGGGACAGGTCCGACTTCCCGCCAGCCAGGCGTGCTCGATTTTTATTGCTCGGGTTAGGCGCCGCCCTCGCCCGGCGCGCACCCAGTTCCCCCCGGGTCGGCGACGCGCACGCGACAGCAACAATTCGGAAGACCGCTGGCCCTCCATTGAAGGGGCCCTGGGACACACAAATAAATACACACAAATAACAGGATCCCCCATATTTTCATATATTTCCTGGGTTTCTGTCTTCCCCCCAACTTCCCATATTTTCATATATATTTTCTGGGGAATCGACATTTACTTGTGTCTGTGTTTTTTCCCCTCCTGATCTTGAACCGCACGCACGCGCGGCGCTCAGACGAGAACCACGTGGTGAAGACGGCCCGCCATCCATCCGTGAAGCTGCTGGAGGTTGTGAGCATGAGGTCATGCATCGCGAAGCCTCGAATGTGAAAGCATCATCGCGCAGATGTCCCTACGCGACGAGTTGGGGTTGTTCGAATCCCAAAGAGGCGCGCCCGACCAGCCGCGCACGCCCTACATACCGCGGCGGCCAAGGCCCGAAGTGTGCCAGTGCTCCCGTGGGAATTACTCCACCTCGCCTCCCAAGGCCTAAAAGACGGGTCCGACAGACAGGGTCGGAGGATCGCGCCGCATCGCTAATGCACCGGCGATGCATCGCCGGTGCATCGGCGACGTCGGCGATGCATCGGCGGGGTCAGCGTGGAGACGATCGGCCACATCGAGCCGCATCGGCGATGCATCGGCTGCATCGGCGATGCGGCGTGATCCTCCGACCCAGTCTCCTCGGGCCCCACCTGGGATGCGTGGAGCTCCTGGGGGGGGTCGATTGATACAAAATGCGGCAGGTTCGCATCGTGCCGACCCAGGCGTTGGTTCCTGACACCGCGGGGGTCGTTCCACCTATACAAGGGGATTTTAGACGAAAAATAAAAAAAAATACACCTGAGAAAATCCAATCAGTGGATGATTTGAAAATTGATACTATGGATCTTGAGATCGATTGTGAGATCGATAATGAGATCGATCGTAAAATCGATAGTGAGGACGATTTCAAGGTCGATCGTGAGACCGAGAGTGAAATCGATTCAATGATATCGATAGTGAGATCGATCGCGAGATCGCTCACGCGATCTCTGGTGAGATCGCTTGTGAGATTGATAGTGAGATCGATTGTGAGATCGATGGTGAGATCGATCGATAAGTCGGTAATGAGATCGATGGTGAGACCGATCAATAAGATCGACAAAGAACCCGGGAACCCGGGAACCTCGCCGCCCTCCGAAATCGGCCCAAAACCGGGAACCCGGGAACCCGGGAACCCGGGACCGGGAAACCGGGAACCGGGAAACCCAGCCTGCCACCAAAATCGGCGGGGAACTTTCGCCAAATCCTTCAACTTCCGCTAGGACCCATTCAGCGAAAGAACTGATTGGGGAATAAACACTGAATGCCCCACAAATATTCAAAAATAACCAAACAAAATCGTCCCAAAACTATTTGTTCTACTATTTTTGAATATCCCCTCCTTCAGAGGAACAAGCCCGACTTAAACCTTGAACGATCGGCCGTTTCCGAGACGTCAGATCGTTCGACATCGACCGATTTCCGGATCGCCCGCGGCGTTCCACGCTGAACGCCCGCGGCAGGTCGACGGGGGTCGAGCGGGGAGGAAGCGAGGAGGAGACCGCCTGCTCAGAAGGCTCGAAGAGTCCCCCGGCCTTCCGGGAAGCTCTCTGAGCCTTCCCCGGGGGATACAAAGGGGAAACTCCTCAGAAGGCGCGAGGACGTCTGAGAAGGCCCGCCGTCTTCTGAGAAGGCCTCCTCCTGCTCCCATCCCCACCTCACTCGCCAGCGGCGTTCAGCGTTGAACGCTGGCGGCGGGGTCGCCGCCCGTCGGCACGGCACGGCACGACACAACTCGTGCCTCCGAGACCTCGAGTAGCCGAGGCGCCCGCTGTTCCGCAGCATCTCCACCATCTGCGCCGCCTCCGCGCGCGCGCGCGTGGCTGACCAGGGAAGCGCGCACGAGGCCTAAGACGAGGCCAGGACGAGGATGCATTCGGGCGACGACACATCGAGAATCACTGATATGTTCGGCGGCTCTGGACCATTGAAGGGGCCCTTGGACACACAAAGAAATACACACAAATGAGAGCATTCCAAATATTTTTCCATATTTTCTGGGCTTTTGTCTTCCCCCTTCCCATACTTTCCCATATTTTCCGGGGAATCGACGATTCAGTGTGTCTGTGTGTTGGCTGTCGAGGATGCACTGGGCGGCGCGGCCTTCTCAGAGCGTTCCTGCACGCTCCGAGAGCGATCCAGAACGCGCTGGAACGGACTTACCCTCGTCCTGGCCCCGCCCGGACGAGGCTGGTGTTGGACGCCCGAAATGGGCACGGAAAGAATGGGCACAATGCCCAACAACAAATGTTGTCCCAAACCAACAGCGGCCGCTGTTGGGCAGGCGGCCTTCTATCTCGAATGGACACAGGCCACGGCGGCGTGGACAGCGAATCCTGTTCAAAATGAACAGGAACTGCAGTTGGGCATTATACCCATTCTTTCTGTATCCATTTCGGGCGTCCAGAGTGATGCGCGGTGGCAACCAAGACCGCCGGCGGCGCCGCTGCCGCCGTTGCTGAGAGGCTCTCGGAAGGCCTCTGCGAGAGCCTCTGCGAGGACCTTCACGGAGGGCCTTCGCCGAGGGTCGGGGTCGGCCAAGAGGGGGGTGTCCAAGAGGGGGGGGGTGCAAATCATGACCGTCGGCATGTGCGCGGCCCAGCGGGGGGGCCAGGGACGTAATGAAATAAGAAGAGGCGCCATGAAATCCGGGGAAATATCATGGCCCCCGCCATGATATCCACCCCCCCTAGTCATCACCCCCCTCTTTGCTGCCCCCGAGAGGGTCGTCGGCAAGGCTCTTCGCGAGGGCCCCAGGCCAATGGAGGCCTACGCAAAGCCCCCCCTGCAGGCCACCCGTCGCCGCCGTCGACGATGACGGCGTTGTCGTCTCGGAGGTGGTTGGAGCGTCTCTGGAGACCCGTCGCCGCAACCAGCCACGAACTCGACAGCAGCGAGGCTCAGGACGACACCACGACTCCGAAGTCGCCGCCCCTGTGTAGGTTCTCCAGTGCCCGACCTTGCGATCCTCGACGGCGGCGCCCTCGGCGATATCGACGGCGACGACGACACCCCTGTGTAGGTTCTCCAGTGCCCGACCTTGCGATCCTCGACGGCGGCGCCCTCGGCGATCTCGACTCGGACGACGATCACGACGACACGACGACGGCGTACGACTCGGACGACGACGGCGGCATGCCCCACGCCGGCGTTGCAGCGCTCGTCTTTGGCTTGCCCTCGCTCGGACACCCGTTCCCCGTGCACTGCTCGGCTGCGCGCGTGCCTGTTTCGCTAAAGAGGGTCGAGAAACATTGGCGGCGCGCAGAGGGGGGTAGGGGGAGGGGGGAAGGCTTCTTGGAAGCGCCCCTGCTTCCTAGAAGGCGCGGGCCTCGTCTGCAGAGGTAAGGCCGGCGCCTTCTAAGAAGCAGCCTCCTGCTAAGAAGCCTTCCCCCTTCCCCTACCCCCCTCTGCGCGCCGCCAAAAAAAGCTGCACGCGTCGGAGCGATGTCAAGTTTGTTGAAGGGGCCCACAAACACACAAAGATGTACATATAAATAACAGGCATCTCCATATTTTTCCATATTTTCTGGGTTTCTGTCTTCCCCCCCCCGCACTTCCCATATTTTCCCACCTGTTCCTGGGAGTCGATGATCAATTGTGTCTGTGGGTTTCTTTCCCTCCTGAAAGTTGACGTCCTGGAGAACCCGGGCCGGCCACAGGACTCCGCGGACGGCGCCCGCAGGGTCCAGGGGGAGGTCGCTCGGAAGCTGCCCCCAGCCCGAGGGGCCTTCCAGGGAGGCCGGAGCCTCGCGCGGCCCTCGTCGATCGGGGATGCATCGCCGGCAGCGATGCCCCGCACTCTCCTGGGCGGGTGGGGCCACCCTTTGAGCATCAGGAGCGGCCAAGAGGGGGGTGTCCAAGAGGGGGGGGGTGCAAATCATGACCGTCGGCATGTGCGCGGCCCAGCGGGGGGGCCAGGGACGTAATGAAATAAGAAGAGGCGCCATGAAATCCGGGGAAATATCATGGCCCCCGCCATGATATCCCCCCCCCTAGTCATCACCCCCCTCTTTTCCGCCCCCGAGAGCAAGGACCAACCGTCCCGGCTTTCCTGCAGCATGTAGGCTTGCCGCGACATGCTCTTATAGACCACAAGAGCGCTCCGTGTCCTCGGGACACAGCGCCGAGGCATCCCAGCGAGACCCTCTCGGCCCTAAACGTTTGAAGAACACTTCGCACAGACAACGCAAGGTTATCGGAACATTAGGGGGCCACATGCGAACCCTAGGGTGGGGTTCACTTCGCTCGGGAGCGCTCGAGCGAAGTGAACCCCACCCTCCCCCTCAAAAATCCTGGGGGGCAGGGGTAGGGTTCGCAAGTGGCCCCCTCAACATTAGCAGGTGGGCCTACGGTCCGGAAAGTTTGGATGGCGGCGTGGTGTCGCCCCGGCGGCCCCGGTGACACGCTCTGCCTCTCGAGCAGAAAGGCGTGTCGCTGCGCTCCGCGGGGCGGCGGATCGGGAGACGCTCTGGACGCTGACGCCCGGGAGCCTGGGAGTGGATAGCGCGTCGCGCCGAAGCGCGGGGTGCACCGGGGGGACGCCCGCCCGTCCCATCGGAAGGGGCCCTGGGACACGAGAAACCGGACTCCCCGTATTTCCCCATATGCTTTTGGGGGTTTTCTTCGTCTTCCCCCCACTTCCCCTATTTTCCCATACTTTCTGGGAGTCGACGATTCACTGTGTCTGTGGGTTTTTTCCCCTCCTGAGACTGGAGCTGCCGCCACCCGAGGAGAACAGTCCGCTGCGGCAGACCTGCGGGCACGGCGAGCAGTGGGGTATGCCCTCCCCCAGGGGCTGCTCGGGAACATTCCGGCAGACACGACGGGCGGCAGGGCATCCTCTCGCCATCGCTCGGACGTCCATTTCCTGAGCTTTCTTCGGTTTCGTGCGTGTTTTTTTCGCCGAATGATCAAGGATGCTCCTCGATGGTCCTCGCCGAAGGGAAAATGCACACGTCCGAGCGATGCCAAGCCCTTAGGGAAGCAAAAAGTGACACAAACATAAAAACTCGGAGGTCCGCGCGGAGTTCTCGGATCGGCGCTGGGGCCCCCCAGCGGCGCCTCCGGCGCCGCCCCTGGCGCGCTCCGCGCGCCAGGGAGGGGGGTCCAGCGCCGATGCGAGAACTCCGCGCGGACCTCCGAGTTGTTATGTTAATGTATGTCACTTTTTGTTCCCGTAACCCTCCCCGAAGCGACCTCGATCTTATTCCTCGGTCCGACCTGTACATCCGAGCCTGGGGCCTGCTGAATCGGCGGTGGATAAACCCTCCCTGCGGTAAGCCTCCCCTCAATGGAATGGGCCCGTGACCGAAACCGACGGACTCAGGAATGCTCCAGAATCGGCGGTGGACCCTCCCCCCATGGGATGCTCAGGAATTGGCGGTGGACAAACCCTCCCTGCAGTAGACCTCCCCTTAGTGGAAAGGGCCCGGGACCGAAACCGACGGACTCAGGAATGCTCCGGAATCAGCGGTGGACCCTCCCCCAGGATGCTCAGGAATCGGCGGTAGAAAAACCCTCCCTGCAGTAAACCTCCCCTGAAAGGAAAGGGCCTGTGGCCGAAACCGACGGACCTGGACCCGCAACAATGACGGCCGCGACGAATCGAAAATGGCCAATTCCTGAATCGACGTGTCAGGGTAGGAGGTCTATCCACCTCCGAAAGAACATCCCAGCAGGCACGACGGGCAGCAGGGCACCCTCCCCGAAGCGACCTAAGTCTTATTCCTCGGTCCGACTTGTACGTCCGAGCCCGGGGCCCCTTAGGCGGCCAATACCGGGAGGTCGTCCTCGGGGGAGGGAGGAGGATCAGGCCGGATTCAGCGGGAGGAAGCCGGAGCCAACGGGCATCGGCCGGATCAAGCGGGCATCCACCGGCTTATAGGCGGGATGGAGCCGGATGGAGCGGGATTTCGGGCCAGGGCAGAGTCGCAGGCTGACCTCCCGGGAGGAGGAGGAGGAGGAGGAGGAGGAGGAGGAGGAGGAGGAGGAGGAGGAGGAGGAGGAGGAGGGAGTCGCACTCGCAGGCCCCCCCGCTCGTGGCGGCGCGCGGCGCCAGGGCGGCCCCGCGGGACCCGCCGACCAGCACGCCGCCGCCCCTCGGCGCGGCGCCCTCGGCCCGAGGCGCGGGGCGGGGCGCGCGGGAAGGACCCGCGGCCGCGCGGAAGGCACGCCCTGCGGCGGCGCCACCAGCCCCCCCCCCCCCCCCCCCGCGGCCTCTCTTCCCCCCCCTCCCCCTCCTCCCTCCTCCCCTGCCCTGCTCCCCCCTCCCCCCCTCCTCCCTCTTCCCTGGGCCTCCCCCCTCCTCCCTCCCCCCCTCCCCCCCTCCTCCCTCCTCCCTCCTCCCCTCCTCCCCCCCTCCTCCCTCCCCCCTCCTCCCTGGGCCTCCCCCCTGCTCCCTCCTCCCTCCCTCTCTCCTCCCTCCCTCCCTCCCTCCCTCCTTCTCCTGCTCCCCCCCGCCCTCCTCCCTGCCCTTCCATGCGCCCTGCGCCCGGAGAACGCCCGTGCGCCCACCCCTCCGCCCGCGGGGCCTGGCCCAGGTCGGCCTGGTCCTGCGCCGCCCGGTCCTCGACGACCGCCGGCTCCTCTCGAGGGCGCGGGCCACGCGTTAGTCTTAGGTCGGGCCTGTCCCCCATACAGGGGGGATTTTCGACGAAAGATAAAAAATACCACGAAAAAGGATCCAGAAATAGTCTGGGGACTATGTTTGGGGTATGGTTTGACCTTCTCGGGGTATTTTGGGGAGATGTTTTATTTTTCGTCGAATATCCCCCTGTAGGGGGACACGCCCGACA